AAAGTAGATAGGTTGTCAGGGTAACAAAACAGACAAATAAACTCTTATGAATGTCTAAAAGTTTGAAGAAAGTTCGACTGATAATAGCGAAAACCGTTATAACTTTTACAATTAGTATTCAGCTAGAGAACTAAACTCAGTCAAACCACCAGCAAATTTTAATCAGTGCATCTAGACCACCGACCAAACATACTGGTAAAATATTAGAGAATAATTCGAACCCATATGGTCGCCATCGAAGGACATATGAGTGGCACAAACGAACAGGAGAGAGAACACACACCCATAGCCACTTGTTTTAATCGTAACCCAGTTCTGTTGAAACTGTTGAAAAAGACCTAACTATTTTATTTGGACTTGTCGAACCGTGCTTAGATAGGACGACGGGGGTGACAACAGTGTCAACAGTGTATGACCTGTTCAAAGGACAGAAACGGTTATGGATACCGACGGTCTTGTCACGTCTGTAGCCCGCATGCCACCGCGATGACTTGTATGCTACTTGCACGAGGGTTGGGCTAGTGTAATTCGGTCTGGACCCGAAAACGTTTGATGTGATGGGAGATTTGATTACGAGCCGTTATAATACGCGGTCGAGGGTTTGATTTTCGCTGCCGACATAAAACTCTCGGCGAAGGGTCCGCAAGTATCATACGACCAGCCAAATTATTATAGTTACCGTACGAACAACAAGTGCGAATCGCTCACAGTGTCGCGGAAAATCGTGTAACCGAGTGTTTCCTTTGACACTGCGCCGAGTCTCTCGGGAAAAACATATTTATATATATAATATTAACCGAGTAGTGTTGAATGGCGGGGAGCAAACCCGGCTGATGCCAGCCTGAGCGTGGTAAAAAAAAACCGAAATTCGGCAACCCCTTTATACCCACCACCGCGTGTGTACTTGACCTCACCCTCGTCGCCCTTTGCAATACAGCTTCTGGTAAGATAATTTCCCAAAAGACGTCCGGCGAACTGCGAACCGTAACACTGTCCGTGTCCCTGTACACAAACGGTACTACTACAATTTGCACAGTCTCATTCGCATTATCCGCACACAGTATGTCGCTTTCCCGGTGTTGTCAGCCCCACACGGTTGCCCTTTGACTGCTCCGCTCCCTTTTCCCGAAATTAACATGCATATTGGAAACCTCGGCGACCGTCCTTTGACGGTCCACGCCGACCCTTGTAGGTCGCCGGCACCCTTGTCGTAGGCCCCGTTGCAATAATTATCGTCCATTGTCTGACGACGGCTTCGCCTCGGCCGCCTTATTACCATCAAAGGCGATGACTTTAGACGAGACGTCTCTCCAAACGGAATATTTACCATCGCCGGTCTTTGATGCGTTCGTCGGATAAAAAAAAATGCAATTTAGAGTTAACAGTTGACGGACGATCCGATTGCTGGCATTCACAGAGGTCTGCACCCGAAAGACAAACCTAATGGATTTATGCAAAAGATTCGATCAAGGCGGGACTCGTCTGAGCCAATAGGATCCTAACTGAATTTGTGTTTTATCCGATGATTTTTAACAGTCTGTGGAAATTTAGTTTATTAGTGCCAGCGAGTTTGGTAGGCAATATTATAGTATTGGAAGTACTGTTTTTCAGACAGTTTCACCTCTTGTATGATAAATACTTATCCAAAAATATCAGAGAGTTATTTTTTAATACATTTTCGGTACACATCTAAGGTAAAATTTGTTTACCGGCTTTATCTGCCATTCATTACTCACATTGGAAAATGAACAACTGTAGTGTTTTTCATCATTTTTCTTCTATCAAATAACATATTTGTTTTATATGAAAAGAAATAGTCATGATGTAATGGTCACACGGATTTATTTTATGAACAAATGGTCATATGGTTATATTTATGCCTGGAGTTCCAATTTAACGTCCGCCACGGTATATTGCGTTGGTTTTATTACCTTTTTGTGACCGGTCCCTTTTTGGGGTCGGTTTATAGATCATTAGATCCGCACACTGTTTATGGATTTTGGTGGAAAACTTTAGGCTGTTTGCTGCTATAACAAAGTATTGTGAATTTTATCACACGGTTCGATCACGTTTTTAGTTACTTCGTACACTCTGCTAGTTGTCATCGGTCGTTTATTAATAGATAATATTTTGCTGGTTTACAAAAGACACCAACAGAAATCCATATCTCGCGAAGATAGAACCCATTAAAAAAATACTTTCCCCTCACAACTCCTTCCAATGATATTTTGGCCCTCGAATATAAAATTGTATTGCAAAGTAAATTTTTAACTCATTGCCATAAATTATTATTTAAATAAATAATCTGCCTATTTCTTGTTTGACTAAATATTATTATTTGCAATAATTTTCCAATAAATATAACCCTGGTATCGACGCAAGGTTTATAAAAAAAATTTTGAGTACCAATAAAAAATCTAAAACCAAATAGTAATGTCTTTATTTTTTAAACAAATATTTGATAGATTTTTTTCACATCTAAAACTTAACACTTTGCACTTTAAATGTATGTATAAAAATAGTATATGTAGATTTTATGCTTCATCGTATTTTAAGTTTTAGTTTTTTTAGAATATTAATTTTGTTATACTAGACCGACCCAGAAATTATGTTTGTGTAAGCCCGCAAAGTCTTTAACTTGGTGTGAAAGAAAGCAAATGTCAAAATTTTGTCTTTTCTATTTAATTGACATGGCGCTTGAAAATGATGTATATTTATCTTTTAACTATATATTTTTTAGCTAAATATTTTATTCACTATTAATAGCTTTAAATTATTCTTTCGAAACCTAAATGTATTAAGTTGACTTGGCAAATAAGATTTCGAGTCTAAAGCAATCGGTCTAGCTTTGTTGTGCAAACAAACGGTTTTGGGTAAACACATTTTTCGATAGACAAAGTCGTTGGAAAACAAAGAACATACAAGTATTAAAAGTGCGGTCGACCGGAGAGGAGGGCCGAGACATTATATAATATCGAACACAGGCCTATATATATATTTTAAAAACTTATAAGAAATGTGCATGTGGTGCACGAGTGCGGTTTGGGCGGAAAGAAAATCTGCGACCGGACTTTGGATATTATGAGTTTTCCGGAAGCCGATCCAAGTACATGACGATGGCTATACAGTGGCGTCTTTAATAGGTTTCTTTTTTTTTTTTGGGGGGGGGGTGTGTGCACAAAAGGACAATATCGAAAATGGCAAAAATATCACACTTTCGGGAACACTTGTATATATGGTCTTGTTCCCCGGGGAAAACCTACCCAAAATGTGATGTGCGATTGTGTGCAATGTAATTGCCAATTAAAAATGTCAGAAATTTCAAAACTCGAGATCCCTAAACAATTATTAGAAAGCCTGTCAACAAGTGCACGGTGCATACATGTACAAATAAATTTAATAATATAATGTAAATAGCCGATAAATGTTAACAAGAACATTGTACAAAGGCTGTAAATATTTTAATGTAATCTATTTGTAAACATAAAGCGTAATAGCTAACGGCCACAGAAGTCGATGCTAAATAATGATCAATAATAAAAATCTTGACTTGAAATTTTCTATGACTATATTGATTTACTCTCACCCTCACCCTAAATCTAGCTTCTGTCTGAAAAAATATGCAAAAACATTAAATTACAATTGTTTGATCGGATGTCCTATTAAATTCTGAACACCATACATACAAGGTAGACAACATTTAAAAACGTTTTAAACGCTAAGAACAGTACAAGAAACGTTTTTACTATATCAAACGATCAAAAACTATTTTTTATAGTGTTTAAGTTAGTCAGTAAAAATACTTCTACACTCATATATTGTTAATAAAAATGTTAACTGTTCATCGTAAATATTAATGTTAAACTTTTAATGCTTTAAAAATGCATATTTCTTCATTCACATTTTTTCACATGGACCATGTTATTTTTCTTACCTGCATCTTATGTTTTTGAACATTATACTTAATGGCTTGGAGACTCCTGGTGGTATCCTTTAAAACTTCTATGTAGAAATAAAAAAACTACTCAGAGATACCATTTGAAATTCAAGGACCGTCTTATAGTTTTTTCCTTTAGAAGAATATATTACAGCGGTATATCTCAATAATTTTCAATAGTTTATATTTTAGACACTCACTCCATTGTAAGGACCTAATGGAGAAATCCTAGTTGTTACTGGTCGTCCTGTTTTGAATGACTTATGGGGAAATCCTGTAAGGCTTTCTGTGTTTTTTAATTAAGGGAATTTCGTTTCTTCAAATTACAGAGATCCAACAAATACCAACTCAAAAAAAATTATAGATTTTTAACACACACAATTATTATTTTCTTTAAATAAAAATAGTATTTAATAAAAGTAGCTATGTTTTTTTAAAATGTAGATAGAGTACCTATTTTAGTATTTATTCGGCATTTTTAATATTAAAGTTGTTTTAGTTTTTGTTGCACTAAAGACCTATAAATGTTCATTCAGTCTGTGTTCACTTTAAATAACTCGTTGTAGTTTTGGAACCTATTCGCTTAAGTTTATCAAACTCATCACTCAATACACTAAGCTCGTTGAGATTCTAAGCACATTCTTTGAAGAATTACTGTTTATTTCTCAATGCCATTTATTCTATACTCAATTATACCAATCGAGTATCAAAAAATAAACGTTGTATACATGGTAGATTTTGTGTAAAAACTCGCAAGGATTCAAAGAAGAGCATAGGTTCTCACTTAAGATAAAAATGTTCTCTTCTCATAAACACACCCTTAAGTTCATATCCCTTACTTCAAATAAAATACCATCTCTACATTGTCTATAATCTTCACTCACATTGATTGTTGTAAGTGTGATTCTCGCAAACCTTCACCGGAGAACGACGATATTATTCTTTTCTCTTCCAAAACAATGTGTCTATTTTAAAACAATATTGAATCCATTGTAGTCTCTTCTGACACAAAAACAAATTGAACTACTTATAAATATAATACAATAACTAATTTAATACATACCGGTATCGTCATCCGCAGACCAGGGTTTTGGCTTTTCTGAAAAAAAAAACCATACGAAAAACATGTTAAATAAAAACGGTAATAATTATTTCATAATAAATTATAAGTAAAACAAAATTGGAAATGAGTAGGTAATTTAAAATGACTTTTGGGTGTGGCATGTATAATGGGAAAAGTGGCAAAAGAAAGACAAAAACTTAATAGGGAGAGTTCACATGTTTTGGACATAAGGAGGTGTTAAATAAGAAAGTAGACAACCCGTTTATTAAAAGTGCAAGTGGTAAATAGAGTAACAAATTAGACATTGATGTGTAGAAAAAATTATTGCCATGAATTTTAGGTGAGAATTGGCAAAAAAAAGTGTCGTTATCAAAGTAAAAGAAAAACGATACAAAACCGCAGTAGTGAATATAAGTAAGTTCAGAGAAGTCATATTAACTGGTTAGGTTAAACCAAATTAAAAAGCGAAGGACAGATGAAGATTAGTTAAAAAACGCGAGAGAAGTGAAATAGTAAAAACGGATTAGAGGTCGGTGAAGGGTAGATTTAGGCGTTAGAGGTAAATGAAAGATTGGGCGAGCGGTTATAAATAAATACATGCGGAAACGAGTGGAAAGGATTTAACCGCCCTAACTAATTCGCACGGTATAAAGTCAAGTATAACTGTATACTATTGTTATAATATAGTTTTCATAAATTTTCCGTTCGTTAGTTTCACGCAGAGAACAATAATTATTCAACGGTCTCGTCAACCGCCTATCCTTTATTAAATTGTATAAAAAAAATTTAAAAAAACCCCAATGATGTTGGGCGTAGTTTAATATATTTATATCGTCCATTCGTCTCTTTATTGTACGCTTTGTCGCGTGTAACTGTTTCTTATTTTTTTTTATTGAGAATAATATATAGCAAATTTACATAAAGTCCGCATAAAGCTGTAAAGCCTGTCCGGTTGTAGTTAAAACGTTTTTTTTTTTTTTTTGCAGAAGAAGACCACTTTGATGGCGGTGCAGGGTAGACGATATAAAAAGCTACACTTTACTGGGGAACGGTGAATAGACCGTTTGTTTTGGCGGGCCGAATAGGGCGGCAAAACGGAAACTCCTATGCGCTATAAATCACAACGAGTTAAAGGAAACCTAGTCCGTGTGTTCGATACGACCGACCATCCGATATATATATATATATATATATATGCTATATGTACAGCTCCAATGGTCGCGTACATTACTTAGGCCCGAGCCCTTTCCAAAACCGATTACCCGTCTGCTTTGTACACACACGCACGACTTTGTGTCTGACGTCTCAATATTCTTTTCGTTTTGCAAGCCACAAAAATTCCCAGTCGTGGCGTTAGTGTTGGAAACTATTTCTGTCAGTCCATAGTAATTTATTGAACCCTCCACCCTCTCCACTATAAAAAAAAATATACCAAAAATAACTCTTGCCGAGGACATTAGGCGAGCCGATGCTCAACATTAATGCATTTACAACACACGCTGAATGTAGTATTATCATTAACGGAACATGAACATAGACTTTTGAGTAGTTTTCTCAAATGTAAAGGAAATAGGTGGACTTTTTTTTTACCTTTAGGTCTTTTAGAGTCAGTAGTAAAATCGGTCGTGTGGTTGTAAAGTTATCTACAAAAATAAAAACCAATTTAAACCCACTAGTGTTTAAAATCATTATCTATAACAAAGGACTTATGAGCGGTTCTCGGTCTAGACGTTTGAATGCTGACAGTCCGAGCCCGCATCAACTGATAGCACTTAAAAACACTTAAATAATTAATTGTATGAAAAGTTTTTTTTTTTTTATGCTTATACATGTTTTTCCCCGAACGACGTTTATTAGCAAAATGTATACTCAATATACAGGCATTACACTATAAATACTTATCATATTTATTCTAGAGGAATAATCGTAATTCAATGAGAAAAAAAACCAATGGTCCACTATATATATATATAATAAATTGATAAAAAAATGTTAAAATACAAAACAGACATTAATTATTGTACAAAGCCATACGAAAAAACGACCGTGTAAACTTGAAATTTTGACGACACTCGAATACCGTTTTACACAGTATCTTATCCCAACTTGGCCTGCGTTCGATGACAAAGAGAAGACTTCGATGTTGACGACGGAGGGTGGACTGTGTTTGTGCGAACACACCCCAACGGTCGGCGAAGATGGGGTGGTAAATTAGCGACACTTTACGGGGGAAAAACAATTAATTCATATACACGTACTGCGGGCGACGAACGGCAAGTATATTACGCGTAAACGATTAGTGTGTATGTGTACTTACAAGTATTGTAATAGTGACCGTTTGTGCGGAAACAACACAAAGGAAACGAGCTGGGAGGACGGCCGGCTGTACATATACATATATATATAACGTAAGTAGGTGTATAATAATAAATAGTGCAGCAAGTGTACTCGTATGCACAGGGTAGAATCGTAACTTACACCACCTCGGCACCCCTTTTTAAACGGTGTTTATGTACTGTGAAACCGGCCGGGGTCGGGCCTTCTGTGACTGGGGTGCTGTAAATTTACCGACCGGCGCTGACGTGCGACCATACCGACGACTGGCAAGGTGAGACTTGTGCAATGTGTGTGTGTGTTTGTATACAGCTCCCCCCCCTCCCCGAGGTCTTTTCGTACTTACTCTGTGGGGTGGCGATCACCAAAGGCCCCAAAGGCGAAAAAAGGAGAGTATCTTTACAAAAAAACCGCCCAAGGCTTATCAAAGAAAACATCGACAATTAATCAGTATGGTCATGCGGCATACGGCAAAGGGTAACAGCTGTAGAGTGGGTTTTTTTTATTCTTTTGAAGACCAGACGAGTGAAAGTCGACGATAACAAAATAAAACCACCCGTAAATCCTAGGGAAGGGGGGGGGGGGTGCAACGGGAAGACAGGAAGAGGGTTCGTTTCTCACACCGGTTGAATCCGTCGCGTCGAACCGAAAAGGAATCGTGAGAATAATATAAATCTTGGGTTGACGGCCGATCAACACTTAAAAAAGTGTTAAGTCAGAATACAATTATTGTTATATTGACATTTTCGACGTTAAATGAAACGTTAAAAAAAGTAAAAAAGTTACACTTCGTGTCGGTTAAACGAATGCACTTAAATTTAAAAAAAAGCAAATTCGGTTTTATCATAATATAACCGATTAAAAAGTTAATCGTTTCGCGTTATTTTTTTATAGGATTCCGGATTACTTTTCAACTTTAACAACTTTAATCTTTATTATAATTATTTTGACGTTTTTTTTTTGTTTCTTCCGTAAAAAAATTAAACGAAAAGTTTTGAAAGTAATTAATTATTATTTCGATACAATGTAGCGGTTTTTTTTGTATACAATAACGGTGTATACATTTAAGTATAAAAAACGATTTAAACGCAACTGCAGTCACCAAAACTTCGGTCATAATGTCAAGTTTAGATCATAAAAGTAACCGTTAAGTTAATTAGGCTGTTTAATTGTCTACTAATGCGGTCGGTTAGGTTAATAGAATAATATAATATTTGCCTATTGAAAACAGGTATTTGAAATTTTTTTTTGTTTTGTACAATATGGGTAATAAAAGTATTTAAGTACTTTTGAAATTCGAACAATTTTCGGCCGTCAAAGACAAAGAGTGAATAATTGAAGGCTGTGGCGCGCACAAGAGGGGTCGGATTGTCGTTCGTCAGACCTTTAACAAAGGCTGATTTTATTTTGATTCCATTTACCTAAGTGTAGCCAAGGGGGGTGGGTATACATACCTCTTAGAATGAGTATTTGCCACCCCTCGTGAAAAATGCGTATGTTCTCCACCGGTGGAGGGCTAAAGAAGATGTAATTGCATGTTTCGACAGTGCTCCGCAAACACTACAAAAATCATTGTACATCTGCACTTAATAATTCACTACCGGTCGAACAATGCAAACAAAATTAACGGTAATTGAATATAACATGAAATTAGATCACAAGCGTCGTGCCCACATTGAATTAATGCTATGATCGATGTTAATAATATTCCCTACACTTAACAGTAAACGGGACAGCTTGCTATTTCTGTAGTAATCAGTTTGAACTCAGCACAGTCCAACGTGGCCCAAGTTTTCGGTTATGAATAATGTATCGTGAAATAATAATTATGGGTTATGATACGGTGACTAAAGTGACTTCCAAATTTACCATAACAATATGTCGAATGTATACTTAAGTCGTCTAGTTCCTAGGAGCATTCATAACAATTCGTTCTGAACAAATTGTTCAGACCACAAAATTTCTGACGGGGTCAACCACACTCAGCCTCTCCTTATTATCAGCCTGTCAATTTTGCAAAGGGGTGGACTAGAGAGATTTGGAGAGAGGATCGTCTTGCGATAATTGGATTGACAATGATATTATTCAAAAAGGGTACATAGGTTACCCTGTTGAGAGTAATTCAATCCGCAAGATTGAAGATTGCAAAGAACATGAAAATATCAAGTGTCCCGCCCCGTTGTTGCCGCGGTCGGGGTAAGTTTTTAATTAAAAAATACAAAAGTCGTTAGAACGAAAACCAAAGACTGTCGTATCGCATATATACTTCCGTTTTTGTATTTTATTTTTTTAAGGTCTCGGTTAAGATAATATTATCGTGTCGGCGCGGTCCGTGTTTATCGCGGCCAGAATATTTTTCGTTTATTCCTCGGCCGACCTTTGATTTTCCCACACGTTTTCCACTCGCTTACTTACTAAAGTCGGTCTCGTAGGGGTCGTTATGGCTTGGAATTTATGTATCGCACGTTTATACCATATTATACCAAAGGGTGGGGGGCAGGAAAGGAGGAAACACATCTCGGTCGGAACAAACGGCCGTTTGCTGTGTATGTGTAAAATACACACACTAGGTACATTATAACAAAAACGGCACCAATGTACACTACCAACACGACTACCCCCTCGCCTTGACCTCCCCCCCTTCCAAAAAATAAAAATAAAAACTACCGTTTTGCCGGATTTCGAGACGAACAACCGTGCGT